TAAATGCGCGAGAACCAGTTTTCAATGGAGGACCCAAGTCAATGACTTGTAGCAATGAAAATCCCCTCTACCTGTGAGAAGGGAGAGGCGCGATTGGATTGGTCTTTTGAAAGGCTTGGCCATGTGAACGCTGGCATGGAGGAAACCGGCACGCTTGCAACGTCGAGATCAGAGGGTCTGCCATGGCGAGGGCTTAGTCGCTTTCGTGGGTCGAGTTCGTGCCCGACCCAGTCTCCGGTCATTTTGGCGCTTGAATTCCCTGCGGAGCGGGTAAGTGACTCACATTGCGGATTTCTTTTTGCATTTCCGTCTGTCTAGCGTGTAGGGGACCTCCGTTCCCACGCTAATATCCAGAGCTGGCTCTGATGCTCGAAATTTATGAGAAAACGAAAATTACCAAAAAGTTTGGGATGGCGTTAAAAGTTGTCCATTCCTGGGATACACAAAAAAGAGGGATACCAGTTTTATGATGAAATGAAGCTTGGATGTGACATGCTTGTATACCTAAACCCGGAGATTTTCCTGTATCCTAGTAGATAGACCTGAGCGCTGTTACAGTATCAGTATGTACGGCCTGACATTAGTCAAAAAAAATGTCACCATGATAATTCATTCATACAACAGAGCAACCGAGAAAAAAATGTAGTCATCGCAATAGGCATCGACGAACTAGTCACGCCTTACGGAGGACTAGTTAGCTAAAAGTCAAAAGTAGACCCAAAACTAAGCACATGACCCTGAAAGCCTGAATAATTGGGACCAAGCCACCAAACCCAGTAAGGCAGGCGGTGTAGCCCCCTACAGCCCCGTAAAGGACACGGTCGATCACAAGGTACAGCCGACGCCGATGCGGATAATCCCATCTTGTCGACAGTTACTCCGGCCTGCTCTCTCACCTTCCCTTCACCTTCCACACTCTTTTGTCACGCCTGACAGAGGGATAATGCTCCTCTATTATACTACTTGAATTCTATACTAATTGTCTTGATCTGCTGGACATATCTGTCACGCAGCGTACTCAGTGTCCGGGAGACACTCTTTTTGTTCCAGTCCTGCCCGCTGCGGGCGACCGTGTCCATTGTGAAATTGCTTCACCATGTCTACCGACTACAATTACGATGACAAGGTCAGTCGCTTTCGGATCGGACGCCAATGAAACACACGAACTGACTTCTTCACTAGGGACAATTTTTCCCGTTCTTTGTCCTGACACTCACCAGTCTTGTCACACTCCCTCTCACATATAACCTTCTCCGGCCGAGCAAGGGTTCGTACCAGCCTTATACCCTCTAGAGGCTCGCAGGTTTCCACCGACCGGTTGTGATTGGTACTAATTCTCCCATTTCGCTGCAGGTCTCGAAAACACCGCTCCCCGGATAAAGTCCGAGTTCAAGCCAGAACATGCAGAGCTTATTGAGGCGCAGAAGCGCAAACGCCTGCGCAAAGAGCGCCGCATCAAGCGCATAATCACCGTTGTCGTGGGTTACGCTGTCATGGCATGGATGGCCTACCTGATCGTCGTCACCGCGAGGACTGTGCCCAAAGTTTGGGATCCTTATGACATTCTGGGTGTTTCAAGGGTGAGCATTCAATTTGTCCACCTGGCGTTTTGGTCGCCTCCACCAATAGGTTACGTAGCTGTACTAACAATGGCGGTTTCCAGAGCGCGGATGAGAAAGCCATCTCGAGACACTACAAGCGCCTTTCACTTATCTACCATCCTGACAAGATTCGGCCGGACCCCGCAAAGAATGAGACTATTGAGATGCTCAACGAACGTTTCGTTGAGCTTACCAAGGCATACAAGGCGCTCACCGACGAGGAAATTCGCAACAACTACATCCAGTATGGCCACCCTGATGGCAAGCAGAGCATGAGCATCGGTATCGCTCTGCCCACGTTCATCGTTTCGGAGGGTAACTCCAAGTACACTCTGCTGGTCTACGGTGCGCTGCTTGGTGTTTTGCTGCCCTACATTGTCGGAAAATGGTGGTATGGCTCCCAGCGCTACACTAAGGAACGGGTTCTTGTCGCAAGTGCCGGAAACATCTTCCGCGAATACAAAGAGGACATTACCGATGGCGGCATTGTCAACGCCCTGTCCTCCGGCGCTGAGTTCAAGGAAATGCTCCAGGGACCTAAGACGGATGCTGGACTCGCCAAGCTCGAGAAGATGGTTCTGGCTGAGGATTCCAATTTCCTGTCGCCCGAGGACCGCGAGGTCATCAAGGGTTTGGACGAATCTAGCAGACGCAAGGCTCTGGCATTGCTGTGGGCTTACCTCGGCCGCGTTGACCTGGAAGACACTACACTTAACGGAGGTACGTGAATTTGCATCCAATGCGTCTATAGAATCAGCTGACACTGATGTACCGACAGAAAAGTACGAAGCTGCACCGATCGCTTTGTCGCTGAATGAAGCCTTCACAGCAATCGCTCTGGCATTCGGTAACGTCCGACCCATCCTGGGTTCTTTCCGGACCTCCCAGCATCTCATCCAAGCTGTTGCGCCTGGCTCGTCCCCTCTCCTGCAGCTCCCCCACTTCACCGAGGAAGTCGTCAAGTCTGTTGAAGGCGCCGACGCAAAGGAACACTTCACCGTCCAGAAGTTCATGAGCATCCCCGAAGACAAGCGTCGCAGCCTCACTGTCGGTGCCGGCCTCATGTCCGAGAAGCAGTACACCTCCGCCGTTACCGTTGCCAAGCAGCTCCCCGTTCTCGAAGTCTCCCGTGCCTTCTTCAAGGTCATGGGCGAAAAGGTCATCACTCCTAGCAGTCTCGTCCAACTGGTCGTCAAGGCCCGCTTCATCCCTCCTGGCTACAGCGCGGACGTCCCGCCAGTCAACCCCACCGACCTCGAAGACATCGACCCCGACGAAGATGACCTCGACGCCATCATGGGCCGCAAACCCGCCAAGAACAAGACCACCAAGCTCGTCAACGGCGTCAAGGTCGAAGAGAAGGTCGAATCCATCCAGCCTCCCCTCGCTCACGCCCCCTATCTGGCCCGCGACCACTCGCCCCGGTGGCACATCTTCCTGGCCGACGCCAAGCAGGGCAAGATGGCCGTTCCTCCCTTCACCTTCACCACCTTCGATAAGCCCCTCTTCGACGCCGACGGCAAGCCCACTTTCAACGTCCAGACTCTCAAGATGCAGTTCCAGGCTCCTCCCCAAGTCGGTGACTTTACTTTCGTCATGAACATGCTCTGTGATAGCTACCTGGGTCTCGATACCAAGATGGAAATCACCCTCCACATTGACGACCCGGCCAAGGCGGCCGCTCTGGATGAGGAGGATGATATCAGTGAACCTGACGAGGGTAAGCCACCCAATTAAACCCCTAGTCTTGAAATAAATTAACCTATACTAACCATAATAATCTACAGACTCAATAGCCGGCCAAATGCAAGCCCTCAAGACCGGCCAACCACCCAAGAAGAAGACCAAGAAGCCCTCTGACGACTCCAGCGATGACGATGAAAGTGACACCGACGGAGATGCAGGAGATACCAGCGACACGAACACAGAGACCGATGTTGATGACTAAAGCAGATAAGTGTGGATTTTAAGTAGAGAAGAGAGAAGAGAAAGAAAGAAAAAAGAAGAATAAAACCAAACTCATTTTTTTACGGGATACTTACTACTTCTACCATTACTACTAACTATACTACGGGAGTTTCTATTTCCATTTTCCTTTTTTCCATATTAGCTACTACATCAAGGAATCATGTATATCCGTGGTGATTTGTGTATCTCATCATTTGGATGGAGTATCTTTGCAATTTTTTTGCATTTGCATCATGTTGTTGTTGCTGTTGCTTGTGTTATCATCTTATATAACTTGCATACCATGCCATACCATACCATATTCGCAATGAAAGCAGGGAATCCAGATTATCTATTCAATCTTCGAATGTCTGTCTTGTAGTATTCTTTTTAAAGCTCTCTCTCTAATTCATTCTTTAATTCAAATTACCTACTAATGTTTGTTCTTTCCCCTTCTAATTATGTAGTATGTATTTGTTACACATGGGCTGTGTGGTGAATAGACAAGGTAAAAAAGCTCTGCGATGATAACTTAGTGTAGTTACTAACTATGCTTTGTTCAGGACGATCTAACATTATGATTTCGTTTAGAAATCCACTCGTGGTCGTTTGTTTGTTTGTTCAATTACTATCAAATCAATCCTTCAACTGCAGTGGTGGGGCAATTGCATAGCGTGATTGTGTGTGGCTTGCATGCTGGCTTGGCTTTCTTCTGCCTAAGGCTACAGTACTAGTAGATAGTAGGGGACGAGTCAGCAACCGCCTATCCTTGGATAAACTAGCAAACTAGTATGAGGCCCCTTGCTTAGTTGTTGCTGACTGACATTAGTGGTCAGAGTCATTTGCTGTACTAGTTAGCTTTTATGGGATGATGTGGTTTCGAGGGAGGATAGGTTTATTGTTTGTTCGATTCCTTTATTGTACGTGCATCGCTGCCGAATCACGCTCTAATATTGAGGAGTTGTTCTCTTTCCCTATTGATGCATGATGCATGATGTATGGTGATAGTATGTATGGTGTAATAAACTGCTCGCTTTATCACTTCTTCGTTCTGTTCTGTTCTGCTCTGGGTATATATGGGAAGAGAGAAAAGACATGTGACCAGAAACGAGAAAGAAGGAAGGAAGAAGATAGGAAGTTCGAGTAGAATAGAGTAAGAAAGAGTCGGTGTATCAAGTCCGAGAGAGACTCCATAACTGAAGTGAAGAGAAGTAGAGGCCTACATAGGCCCAGATCTAGTAGTAGTAACGAACGCATAAGTCGAGGAAGGTCAAGGAACAACCCCTCAACGCCTGTGACCTTGCTTGCTTGTACATGTCAGTGAATCATCCTGTCTCGGCTAGCTTGAGCCGATCAAAACGCCGTGCCGGGTATGATATGATGTAGAATAAACCTTGCCGAGAGTTTCACAGGTACTCCATAAAGGACTATGATAGAAAACAAAAAACCGTACGCAGCACGATACAGAGCTAAAAAGAAAGCAATATAGGCGGCCAAAAAATGGCTGTCGGCCTGTATAATGTGCATGTACAAGGAACGAGGGATGGACGGCGGCAGAAGGCCTGTCCGATGAAAAGAAAGTGGGTAGAAAAGAGTATGAAAAGGACCGCAGTCACTTGATAGAGATACTATGTTATGTGACCACCCCTATCCACATGTATATGTCCAGCCAGATGGAAGAGATGCATAAACGGGCTGATGCTCCTGTACATGGAGGTTAAAGTCATTCATCATGACAACAGGGAATCCCGATGCGGTGGCGGGCTGGTGGGAGCCTGGCCTGGCTGCCACGCCAGCTTCCAGGCGGCTTTTGGGGGGGCCTTCATCACAGCTCGCAGCCATGTAGTAATAGAGGGGATGTCCATGGTCGGCCATAGAAGGGATAACTTCCGGGCATTTATCTTCACTCGAGAGGCCATGTGGCTCCAGGTTTGTTCGTGACAACGTCATCTGGTGGTATCCAGGATGAGGGTAACTATGGTATTGTCCCGAGTGAAGGGGCTGGGCAGGTTGCAACTCCCATTTCCAAGGCTCTGATCCTTTGGAGGAGGTAGGAGTGATGGGACTGCAACTACTGGGAGTAGGATCCGGAGGAGTGGCCGGTTCTGGTGAAGGATCCGTCGTAGCACTGCAGTCCGTCGAGGTGGACAGGAACCGCAGGTACCGCAGGTCTTCAGTGTCTTCCTCGGGCTCCTCTGGATTCTCTTCGGCCTGTTTGATCAATCCAAGACGATCCAGGATGGCATGAGTTAAAGGCTGACCGTCCGAGAGCTCGACGAGAGGCTCGCCGGGAAATCCTTCCTTGTCAATGCATAGTTTATAGAGCCTTTGGAGCGCCTTGACAACCAGTGAATGGTGGGATTCAAGCATCTCGACGAATCTATCCACACTCACCGCCACCAGTTAGTTAATTGTGACAGACCATAGAGAAAATCATGACCTTACCCTCGAGAGTATACTTTGGTTTGCGTGGCCTTCCGTTCCCGGAACAGACACGGATGATTGTAGGCCGAACAACGGTTGCACGGCTGTTTCCCATCACACTAGCATGAATGAGCATGGCTGGCCATCGAAGTGCACTGAGGCCAAGGTAGAGGCGAAAGATGACAAAGAAGAACCCAGTACTTCACCAACCTTGGTCTTCTTAACTCTGCAACGATCGCAAGCCTTCAACACATGCTTGCGTTTGACACGAAAGACGCGCTGGTCATGCTTCTCATCTCCCAGTCCTGCGCGAGGCTCGAGTTGCGATAAAGATGATACCGCAGCAAGATTGTAGATGGCGTCTGGGAAGCCTGGGATATGCGACTTGGGTCGCAGTTTAGGCTGCCTCGACATCTTGCAGGGGTGTTGCCGGTGTGCAGTCAAGATAATAACAGAGATGAGATAAAGAAACACTTGCGCACACCCACAGAGGGAAGGCTCAAAGAGAAAGAGTGATGGAGGGGAGAAGAAGAAGAAGAAGAGAGAAGGAGCAGGAGGAAGAAGCAGAAGAAGAAGAAGAGAAGGGACGAGGGGGTCTGATAGTGATATGAGACCTGACTAATAGATAAGTAGCAGGTTGCAGATGAGAGAGAAAGGAAGAGGGAAAGGAGGGGGAGGGGTAAGTAGATGATGGATGACAGCTACTTTGAGCGAAGCAAAGCAGAGCTAAGCAAAGCAAGCAGGTGGGGTGCGAGATAATTGCTAGGGGGGGAAGAGGAAGGGGAGGGAGGGATGTGACAGCAGAGGAGGCTGAGAGAGCATGCCTTGACTTGTCTCTGAAGGAATTCAATCAAGTTGATATCATTTTATGCCAGCCTGCATATCGAATGCCCCGCACCTCCCTTGGACTTCTGCTACCCCACCTCTCCTCCGAACGACAAGACAAGACGAGACGAGACGTATATCGCCTGAGAAAATGCGATGGTGACGTGGAAAAGCGGCCTGTCACGATATCAACCGGCACCGGTCGCTCGACGTCCTTCAGGCCGTTGTGGCTGTGGCAGCCTAGCAGGTACACCCAGGGGTCCCCGCATATCTGGACAGATATGCTTGACCAAAGCCCACTATGTTTTTGTTTGCTGATACAGGTGACCACCACCACTTCCCCTCCAATTTTGCTGGCGCGAGACACGCCAGCAGTCATGCCTGTCGACGGTCCGAGCCGTCAGAACCAGAGAATGCCCATGGCACCGCTCATCGGCACTAGCCGGGCAAAATCCTGGTCATTTGGGCAGCGAAGCGCAGAAATGAGCCTTCAAGCTGACCTTCCTGCGCCATGCCAGTGGTGGCCTTTCGGCATCAAGGGTAAACTGACAGACACTCATCTCGTCGCGTCAGTCTTTTGCGACAGACTTGTCGCTTCCGTATTCCGTATCTTTCCTACCCTTCGCCCGTCACCCTCTTGTTTTTCTTTTCTCTTGTCAGTGCTGCTGGGTGAGACATGGCCATAGCACAGGAGGACCGGAGCTGCAGTCTCAGGCAGAGCTTGGGACCGATGAGGGAAACATTGATACCACAGGTCTGTCTGGCAGGCGCGTATCGAATGATTTGCCAGCTGCCATTGGCACACGGATGACCGGCTCACTAACACTCTGACTACCGCCCATGCAATCGACGAGCGCGTGCTTTTCGCTGAATTCAGCGTTACGCCAAGGGCGATGAGTCGGCGTTGGCCCAATGGTGTGGGCTGTCACTTGCTTTTTCTCTTCAAATTCTAAACCTTTTTTTTTTCTCTCTTCCCCTTTCCTTTTTTCTGTTTTGACTAATTTTTCCTTTCCCGCAGATTTTCGGGCAATCACCTGCACAGGCATGTTCTGCTCAACTTGGCCTAGTAGTAAGCAAGAGACGTGCAGCACACTTAGAAATAATAATAATAAAATATGAAAATGAGCGCGGCAAAGTCGGGTGGCCTTCATCCAGTCAAGAAAAGCCGCATAATGCTTTGGTTCATCGGCAGAGCTAGTCAATAATTCTGAGCTTTGTAAGCGCAGTATTGTAAGTAGACTGTCTAAAACAGGGACCGGGGGTCTAAGTATTGCTAAGGTCCACTCCCGTCATATCAGCGAGGCCATTCATGGTATGTGTGGCGTTGCTGTCATACCGAGAATGATAGCGGCACGATAATGAGCCCTGTCAAGAGATCACCTGAAAAATTAATAATAGAAGAAAATAATGCGAGACTGAGATGCCAATCTATTGGAATGGATGCCCCGCCCCAGGTCACTGGGAAGATGCGTGCAATGGCATTGTTGGTGACAGAAGTGTAATAAACATTGAGTAAGCGTCAGCGCGTCAGGCTGCAGTTGACTTGCAAGGTGCAGAGGGGTTGCACGACGTGCGCTTATTGCATCTCTGCACGAGCCGGGTCCGTCAGAGAGGGAATAGAGAAGAGAAAAAAAAAAAAAAAAGGTATCCGTGCATGTTGACCTGTATCGAAAGCGTAACTGGACTCCAGCTACCGAAAAGGAAGCGGGTAAAAAAACATGGCATGGACATGGATATATTCGAATTACATTTGATTAAAAATGTTGCTTCCATCCTATTTTCATGCAGTATCTTCTGATTGTTGTCACCTTCGGGCCACACATTGTGTCAAGGGAGTTGCCTCAGAGAGTCGATACGAGATCAGGCAAGCCCGGGCCACAGGGGATCCGATAACACCCTCAAGTGTTTTAGCAAGAGGACTAAGAGCAAGGCAGGAGGATCATTGATGTGATTTCCCCTCTTTCACCCGCTTTGAATTGAGGGGGTCCGAGGATCCTGCGAGAGCGCAAGTCAAACCGCACGGGCAACTTGCAGGGGAAAAAAAGGTCCGCTCACCTGCAGGGCCTTGGACCTGAACGGAGGGGTTATGGTGGTGGTAGTGGTTATGGTTGATTTCTCTCCGTCTGCTTAACCTTGCCCCCTCTAATTTGCCCTACTGAAAATAAACTTCCGTCATAAAATATTGAAATCCATACATCAGGAACGTACTGGGGATAACTGTGGCGCAGGCAATGCGCGGGGCATTCAGGATAGGTCATTTTTGACTGTCACCCCTGCTGAAGGTTAATCTCAGTTTGCGAGCATCCCGTCGATCAAGCCTGGGCATCGTTCGGGAATTAGGCAGTAAACATCAGAACGGATGAAAACTCATCGTAAAGAATGTCATAAAATGGACCGAAGACGGGAGGATAGAGAGGGAGAGAGAGATCGGGATTGGAAGAGGAGAATTGCGGATGGAACGGAGCACGAAAAGAAGCAACCGAACAGGAAAGAACTACTGACGGATTGATGCCCGGCCTCTTGCCAAATGGAGCCAATCACGGCAACGTGACTTTACTTTCTTTCCCTATTTCGCCCGTTCGTCCATAATGACTTTTCAGTGCGACTCGTTCGTTTGTGCTTCATTCATCCTCGTCGCCAATTCCTTGGTTATTATCGTTATTGTTATTGTTATGACCATGGGAGTCGCTGTGCTATCACTTCTGCCCCTCCGCCAGATATTTGTCTCCCCATCCCGATGGCACAGCGTCCATATGGTCCCATGACGATCCTCCTGATGACACAGACACACCGACAACAACACCGAATAAGAGACTCATAAGTTTTCCTGGGAGGCAAAAACCAGAGAGATGGGAATTTGATAGAGCGCGCACCACAAAAACCGGTGAGAAACTTTGCAATCAAGTCTATACATCCCAAATCTCGTGCCGCGTGCCCAGGCAAAACCTGGCATCACCTGCATTGCATGACATAACCTAGCATGATCTCTGTTTACATTTTCAATTTCATTCAATCCATGGGGAAACAGCCAAGCCAATGGACAATCAAGGAAAGGAATAATTTCTTGGTGTTTTTCTCTAAAACCTGGATGAGCGGCAGGGATTGATTGATTGAGTAAGTGAGTGAGCCCTTCCCTAATGGCAAAAAGCAGTGATGCGTGAAAAGCCCGGGCGAATTATGGTTGGTCTATTTACTACACACCGCGGTACAGTAGTACTTAGTGCTGATGTGCTGATGCTGGGATGATAACTGTGGTTCTTCGGGACAGGCAACACACCTCTCCTCGGCTCCGAAGAAGCATCGCGCAGAAATGCCGCTGAATTGTCAGACTACTCAATGGGTAATGGTACATACATACATACCTACGTATACGTGCCGACGGCAGGTGAAATGCGCGGACACGCTCTGTTTTCCACTCGTGGCTGCCACGAAGGCCACAGGGCTATTTTCCTTTTTTTTTTTTTTTTAATTTGATCATGCCCACCGACAAAACTCCGTGACGATATACAACCAGCTATGTATGTAGTATTGCGACCAACTCTGCCCATCAGATGTTTCTCTTGAGAGCTTCGGAAAACATTGGCCAACCTACGGAGTAGAGGCAACCAAATCGAGGGAGAGATGTGCGTTCTTTTCACATCTTGCAGATCAAAAACCGAATGCACTTCCTTCCGGACATCGACCGATGCTCGTCGATACGGAGTGCCATAACTCCGAGACCCGTGACCAAGGTAACGAATCAACAAATATGCGAAAACCGGAGTTATGTCGAGTCAAACCGCTACTACTCGTCAGAAGTCCAGCTGAGAACCCCGGAATAAGCAAACAGAGGGGTCAGCTAATCACGGAAAAGATCTCATACAAATAAAAATCTCTCAACGAGCAAAGTAGACAGGTCAGGTATGGATACGAAGATCGATGGTTCTTCTTTTTTTTCCCCCTATGTATGCAAAAAGACGGAAAAGGGAAGGAGATATCTGGTTAAGAAAAATGAAAAAGAAAGTAGGAAATGGTGATTGAGGCAGTAATAACGTAGTATACAGTAACTACTACTCAAGTGAATAGTACTCGAACTCATATGGAGTCAGCCAATGATAATCCCTGATTGCCTTATTCCAGCTGATCAGGTGCAAAGGAGAAAGTGTCTCTCCAGTCAAGTTTACAATTTCCGCCAAACCTCCTTATTATGATTTTCTTTTCTCCCTCTTATAGAGAATGCCAGTGATTAGTAGCCTTAGCAATTGACAAGGCAAGACTAGAGCAGCAGACTGGATGATGGTTCGCGGCGAGGTCCGGTTTCGGGTCTCATCTCACCTCCTGTCTTTAGTGAAGTAGAAGTCTTTCTATATTGAGGCGATATGTATCGTACACGGAATCAGTGCCAATATCTTCATCGAAGCGAAGAAGGAAAAAGTAAAATAAGTGAACAGCAACCGTAACTCCCAGCACACAGCCATGTAGATATGCACAAAATGACTGCCACATACACACCCCGCCATGTAGGCTCCTTGGAATACAAAAAGCAATGTTTCCACTTTCCCATCCCATGCCATCTCAGTCCCCAGTTCTGTACAGATAGACCCAGCCGAGCTAGTATATGCACATGTAAAACCCCGTGAAATCGCTATGCACAGCTAGTAACCAGAAGAAGAAAAAGTATACCACAACGAGAGAGGACACCTCCCAGAAATAAATGAAAAGCCGAGAGAAAAGAAGATTAAGCGGACCGAATCGCTTCAATAGCCGCATTGAGGGGGAACACCTGGGGAAGGCGCTGCGAAGGATAGCCCGGGATCCACTTTCGGAACGCAGTGCTGCAAGACTC